CTCCTCCCTTGGATGTCTGTAACATGTTTATTCATCTGAATTGCCTCCTTAAAACAGCTTTGTAATCTTCAAGTGCACAACCTACAAGGCAGCTTTTTTTTTTAGAGAAAAAAAATGTTTTTATCATGTCTATAAGTTCTCAGATTCATTTCCCATCCACATTTATCTAGGTCTCACTGTCCACCAGACACTTACTAACTGGTGAATTAGGATCCCCTGACAACAGTCATCAAATGTCAAAACCCCTCTGCTTGCTACATGAGCATTATTACTCTGGGGAACTGGAAAGTCTCTGGTTGTATGCCCTACTTAGATTTACTAGACGTATGTAATAGCTACAATCCCTTGTGCCTCTGTCTTCTTACATGAAATGAGGACAGTGTGTCAAGTCATAAAACACTGTAGAGTCACTACTGAAACTAAAAATAAGTTGCATCTGATGGATGCCATTCATATCTAAAGACGAACCTCTGATACACAATCACAAAAAGTAAGACATTGTGACCAGGATGGAAGCACATGCTGGAAAGAGGTGCAGTGCCTTCCTTGGCCTTGACATTAAACCTAACCTTCCCATGCAAGTGCTGTCTCTGTGGGTCAAGACACAGACATTATTCCAATGGGAATGCTTACTGTAGCTGTTGTTGTTATCATATTTATTTGATGTTTGAGTAGGAAGGCTGCTTAATGACCACTAAAGGCTATGAAATCTGGACAAGGCAGCTTTCGTAACTTTTCAGAACTGCACAAGTAATTAGTTATAGAGATGTTAGTATGGGTTAAAGGTTAGTGTAGATCAATTAGAACACAAATGTACAAGGCTAGCCCAGCAGCCATAGCAGGACTTGGGTAGTCTCCGCCCATCTCTTCCTCTGTTTCTGTATCTTAAATATTTATTCATTTATTTATTTGTTATGTATACAGTGTTCCTCCAAGGCCAGAAGAGGGCACCAGGTCACATTACAGATGGTTGTGAGTCACCATGTGGTTGCTGGGAATTTAACTCAGGACCTCTGGAAGAGCAGCCAGTATTCTTAACCTCTGAGCCATCTCTCCAGCCCTGTTTCTGTATTTTAGTTTTCTTCAAACCTGGGTTCTCTCGCCTTTTTCTCCTGCCTGTAATGCCTCCCAGCTGATTGCTTTGTTCTATTTTCTCTCACCCTATCCTTACCCCCATGCCTTCTATATTATGCTCCAACTAAATTCTTCCTAGGTTACAAATTTAATGGATAGATATCTTTTAGAAGAAAGAACTAGAAACTCTATTTTTCACTATATGTTGACCTATAGATTGTGAACTCTTCCATTATAAAATGTCTAAAAGTGATAGAGAAAATATTTTTAAATACCTTTTAAATAAAATGGATGGATGTTTAACAATCAAAGGGAAATCCATTGAGGTTCAGGATAACATGTGATCCAGGTCCTGAGACATGAGCTCACAGGGTATGCCTATGCTTCATTAGATTGGAGATAAAGAAGGGGTGGTAGTACTGGAGTTAAAACTACATAGCAGGTAGCATCAAAGGACAATGAAATGGAGAATATGAAGGAGCAGCTAAGAAACACTTCGAAGGAAGGTCAAGCAAGGAGACATGTATCTATATCCCCGACTCTGGGATGGTAGAGGTGGGGGATCCCTGAAGGCCACTGTCCAGACAGTCTTACCAATCCAAGAGCCCAGGGTTCAGTGAGAGGCCTCATCACAAAAACTGAGGTGGGGAGGAAGATAGTCATTATCAACTTGTTTACTGCCATGCATGTGTGCACATTGGCGTATATGTACATGGTAGACATATGCAGGGTCAGGGGGAATGAATTATGAGAGATAAAAGTAGCCTTTAGAAGAGCTGAGGATGTGGTTTAGTGGCTGTGTGGGGCCTATCAGGCACCAAGACCCTGTATTCTAAATCTCGGAATTGACAACCAGAAACAAAAGCAAAAAATAGAAGAACAACAAAACGCTTAGGTCAAAGAGAGAAGACAAAATGCAGTGTTAGGCATTAGATAATCAAGGCATTAACAATAGTGAAGGGACAAGATAAGATTTAAGGATACGATGGCTAAGGGTTTCTCAAAAATGATGTACTAAAGAGTTAAACTAAAAGAAACCCATAATCAAATATAATTTTGATGTTGCTAGTAGATTTGGCTACAATGAAGGATAGTCAAGAAATGCTAAAATATTATCTTCTTAAGGAAAATGTGTCTTTTACAAACAAAATAGGTAAGGGTTAGCTGCTAACATGCCCTTACTTAGGGGATTACTAAGTCTTCAAAGATTAGTTGGAGATGCTCTAGAAAGATGTAATGAGGAAATGAAAAAGCAAATATGGAGTTACATCTTAATGAATAATCACAGATGGCAAAAGTAATGTCTATTTCAGTCATATTTTAAGCTAAACTAATAGATACTAATATTTTATAGGTTGGAGGCAGATGCCTGGAATTAGTCATTGTGAGGCTATCATACTTACAGGAAATAATTCAATTGAACTACCCTTGGGGGACTTGGAAGTATGAGAACCAAGAACTGCTATATAAGCATGATCTTGGTATTAAATTTGTTATCTTTTTGTTGTTTTGTAAAACTCTCTCTCACCCTAGAGAGCCAAATGTTTATTCAAATATTTATACATAGCAACCTCCTGACCCCCTACTTTCACTCAATGTTTGGGTTCCCATGCATTAGTAGTCTTTTCCTACATCCCTCCCATTGTATTTATTACATAACAGTAGCTGACAGTTTTCACCCAGCTGTATGTACTCAGTAGCACTTGAACTTCAGAGTTGGCCTCCATGCATTCCACAGTGGTTGTTCTGAGGAGGAGTGCTCTTCATTCCTGGTGTCCAGCCCATTGTGTTTGACAAGATGAGCCTCGCTGCATGTAGTCTCAAGAGCACGTCTATGGGGAGAGTAGAGAGTGGAAATGAGAGAGCCTCCCAGCCTACCCACAGTCCCCTGAGTAAATGGAAGTGATAATAGTTCCTTACTCTTAGCATTGTGCAGAGAAACTTTACTTCAAACTGGCTATAGTCAATGAACACTTGCTTGTTAGGAATATTACAAATTGCTTTATTTAAATCTTAAACAACTTGATTAAAATTGATCAGACTACAATAATTATAACTGTAAAAGACTATAATCATAGCCATAAAAGACCAGATTACATCTTATACTTCTATGGAAAATGGGAAAGTAGCAGGTACAGTAAAGGAGATTTGCATTGGACCTCAAGGGTTATGTTTAGGTTGATATTTCCCACAAGATGCTCTTCAGAATGTGTTTCTCATAGATGCACTATGGTGATGCTAAAGGACCTTTACTTGGCTCACAAACATATTTCTACTTTATGGTAGAAAACAGATTTATAGATCTTTGCATTGAAGTCATCTCAAGATCTCATACACTAATCTTATAGCCCCAGGGAAAGATTTTTAACACTAAGACCTGCATAAACATCTCATAGGAAGTAGGCTTTTCTCTGTTTTTGCCCAGTGTTTAGCCTGTGATTTGCTTATACAAAGTTATTTAAATTACCCACATATTGTAACGTACGGGCTAAAGTCCTTGGGGATTGTGTGAATTTTCAGGGAGGGGTCAATTCTAGACTGTACCATGCTACTTCTGATTCCATGCACAGCAAGTGACACAGCCTATGGTCACTTTTATGTGCATGTGTCTCCAGTGGGCAGGATCAGAATTTATCATCGACTAAAGTGCTGTGACTGCCTCCTCAAATTCTCCCTCATGTTAATCCACTTTTTTCTTTAACAAAGGAAATTGCAATGTGCCTCTTTTTTTAACAAATATTTTCAGCACATGCCTTCAAACTTCACCTAGGAGAAGCAGAAGGGATAGTATTTTCTATTTCCCCTAGAAACCTGCAGAGCGGATGTTGTGAGGTCTTTCTTGCCAGGTGGCTATCTCAGTATGCTGCTGGCAGGATCACTTGTACTTTTTAGGTGAATAGTTACCTAGATCCCAAGCCAAGAGTCTGGAGAAGTCAGATGAAAGAGATTTGTATGTGAATATTCCCTAAATTAATCAGGTTCCCAAATTAAAGAAAGCCAAATGAATGCTAAAGGAATATGAGTAAATGCCCCATCCCCTGTGCTTGAGCTAACATGTTTAGGAAAATAACATTTAGGCTATAACATTTAGTAGTCAAATATTTCAGGTTTGTTAGAGTAAGTAGTAGACATTTGTCTGATTTGTGTTTTTGCTTGAGTGATTTGTTGAGTTCCTTAAGTGAATAGAGAAATTCTGTTTTATATTCTAGAAAAATAAAAGGACTATAAAGATATAAATGAATTGATTTTAGGAATCTTTGAGATAGTGCCTAAAATTATACGACACCAAGATCTGTGAATTCTGAAGATTAAGAGTCTCTTTCTTAAGTCATTCTAAGTCTAGGGAAAGAGACATTTAGGAGGGGGAAACGAACGACAATTGCACTGTGGCAATATCAGCATCAGAGGTCTACACAGACTGCCATACAAGTGATCACAGAGCTCTGCTTTTGTTGAAGCATTGTGAGAGAAATGCCAAGGGAGTAGTCCTTTCAACATCTAGCCCTTAACACCTTCTCTTGAATTTATATGTATCTCTAATCTACCTAGTTTTGTTTTCCTATGAGTTTTTTGGTTTTTTTTTTTTTTTAAATCTGCCTTTTGGGAGTCACCTATCCTAGAGGACAGAGTGTAGAACTATGCTGCCAAGGTTCTATGTCCACCTTCTTTTCCTTCCAGTTGTATGACCATGAGCAAGATGCTCTCTGTGTTCACTTTCATAAAGAGAAAAGTCATAATGCCTACTCAGCAGGATTACTGTGAGGATGAAATACAAACAATACATAGAAAGTGTTTTAGAAATGTCTAGTTTTCATTCTATTGATAGTTAACAAACCAAAATATTGAAAAACTCATGTTAAAGTTTTAAATTGTTCTTATAAAATGCTGATTTTTGTCAACTAAACTTTTGTATTTTCCCTTCTTAGCTCCAAGAGGAAAGCGAGGATGGAAAACCTTCTATGCTGTCCTGAAAGGAACAGTTCTTTACTTACAAAAGGTAAAGTACAGTGGGTAAAACCAAAATTTACTGCTGTGAGGACACTGTGTTGGAAACATGGGTGCACACTTGTCTTCCTGTGGTGACTGTTTGGTGAAGTCCATAAGTTGTGTCAATTGACTTTGCCTAAGCATGTAACCCTGACTTTACCTGATGAGGGCCCTTGGCAATCAGAGCTTCTTTTCTTCTAGTCTTAATTACAACTAACTCCTAGATCAGATGGAGATATATGGAATTGGCTTTAAGAGAGTTAAAGAGACTGCTAAAGGCAAATGCAGAGAACTGACACACATGGTACAGGTTCATGTAGTTAGGTATTACTGGCCCAGGACCTGCTGAAGTTGTTGGAGGCAGTTCAAAGAATATTCAAGTACAGGTATAGGACCTTGCTGAGTTCAGTCCCTGGAACAGGAGTTAGGAGCTTGTCACCTATAGATTCTATAATGCAGGCACTGCATAACAAAGCAATTCAGTATGTGATGGTGATAATGGGCTTCCATCCTTCCTTGATCTGGTGTGTTTCACAGGTTCATGAGCCTAGGTTTACTGATAGGATTTTGATGTGCACATGTGTTCCTGATCTACTTAAGTAAATTAGTAGGTGGTAATTATTTCCTTTGCATGAACAAGTTATTAGTCTGTCTCTTGTGTTCTGTGCTGGGCAAGTGGTAGTTTTTAATCATATAAACAAGGTGTAGAGTCATTTTTTGTTAGCATTTCACTCAAAATACAGGTGATAAACTCCTGTGTTATATGAAGTCACTTAGACTAGGCTTGGCATGGAGTATCTCAAAAGTTAGAACAACTTAGAACAGGAGATAGCCTGATCATGCCCAACAGAGTATCCTGTTAGCTAAGCTATAAAAAAAGCCACAACTAACACCCAGAGGACTGTTAAATTGATGTTTAGAAGGAGTTTGGGAGGGGTGGTCTCTCTCTGTCTCTCTCTCTGTCTCTCTCTGTCTCTTTCTCTCTTTCTCTCTCTCTCTCTCTCTCTCTCTCTCTCTCTGTCTCTCTCTCTCTCTCATTCTGTGTGTGTGTGTGTGTGTGTGTGTGTTGGTAAAAAACAAAAGTTTTATGGATACAGATGTATACATATGATCAGGGAAATGGGTAGGAAATGAATAGCCTCTGTTCTAATTGTTCCATAGGCAATATAGACCTTAGATAAAAGACCTGAGGCAAGGCCTAATTCTGTCTTATTGGAGCTACTTTTGATACATCTCCTAACTTTTGATTTCATAAATTGTATCTATTTTCCTTTGTCTCAAGGTAAATTTTTTCTTTTTATTTCTTCAACACATTGGTTCAAAGAGTATGGAAGAATATGTCTAGTTTCTGCATATTTTCTTCCACTATTTTTATAGCATTGTAGTTGTAAGATGTGAGTAAAATTATTTTGGTTGTCTTAAGTCCATGAAGATTGTAACATTAATGTGTGATCGATGGTGGAGAGAATGTTACATGTTCACCCAGAAGGATGTTTTGTCTGATGTTCTGAGCATGTCTAAATATTTCACCTATAGCATTCTTTTCATCCTCCATTTTCTTCTTATTTTTCTACCTGCCTTTCTTCTCTCTGTTATTGAAGTGGAACATGGAAATCTATTGTTTGCTATTTTATCCTTCACTCTGTCAGTGTTTGAGCCATAAGTTTGGGAGATCTACTGTTGGAAGGAGATAGAAGGGACGAAGAGAGAGGGGTGCATTTATTTATCTTCCTAGTGAATTGACTTTATGATCATTACGTTATGGTTCCACATTGACTCTCTTGGCAATTTTTATTTGAAATTTATTTTGTTTGGTATAAGTGGGGACACTTCTTTTCTGACTACTTACATGGATTATTTTTCCATGATTTCACTTTAAGGCTGTCTGCTTCTAAATCTAAAGGAAGTTCTTACTGAAAGCATTTAGTTGATCCTTCTTGTTTGTTATGTCCATTTAGCCATTTTTCCTTTTTTTTGATTAACATAATCTGTTGATTATTGCTGTAATAGTACCACAGATGTTGTGAGAATACCCTTCATTTTTTAAGGATGCTGTTGCCAAATACAATTCTTCAATAGAGTTTTTTGTGTTTTTTTGTTTGTTTTTTATGCTCTCAGTATATAAGATCTCACAGCCTCTCTGAATTGTTTCTGCTGAGAAGTCTACTGATAGTCTTATGGGCATTCTGTGGTATATGACAAGTCATTTTTCTCTACTGTGATTTTCTTTGACTTCTCATAATATTGTGAGTCTTGCTGTGATTTCTTTGCATCCATCATGCTGAGCTGTATCAGTCTGTTTCCTTCCCCATATTTGAGAAGTTTTTGTCATTATTTCTTTGAAAAATCTACCCGCTTCCTTTTTCCTTTTTTTTCTATCTTATACTTCTATAATGCATATATTGGTGTCCCCATAGCCACTTAAGCTTTCCTAATGATTTCCACTGTTCTTCTCTTTTTAGTCCCCCTGAGTGGAACAATTCAAATATCTTTTTTTTTTTTTCTTCCTGAGAAAAGCTATTGTTGAACCCCTCAACTAAATATTTCTTTAGGTATTGTATGCTTCAGCTTAAACTTTCCTCTTCTATTCTTTGATATATTCCTGTTTATTTGTTCTAATAATCCCTTTATTATTAATCATTTTCTTGAGCATATTGAACCCTTTATGGTGACTGTTCTACATTTTATCTTATGCAATTCATATACTGTATACCTTCTTTTCCTTACAGTTCATTTCTAGAGATTTATTTTTCTTCCCTAAACCAAGTTCCTTGTTTCATTGTACCTTTTCCAGGTTCCATTTATAATCTTTCCCACTGAAGAAACAGCCACCTCTGATAGTTATGGAAGTGTTTGATACAGAAAACTCACCACTTGAGGCCTGGTTAGAGATTCTCTTTAAGAACATGTCATTTCTTTGTACCTGTGTGTGCAATTCCTCACTTCCAGAGGATTGCTAGTTTCTCTTAGAGAAACCTAATGTCTTGCCCTTCCACCCTCTTATACCTGTTTTCATTACTCCTGATTAACTGGCTCTGCAGCCACAGCCACCAGGCTTTCCCTTGTTCAGAGCAGCCACTGCACATTTCAATTTATGCCAATTTACCAGTCAGGTACCATTTTCTCTGACAGTCCTAAGGAGAGCCAGAGCATCGGATGCATATTTTTTTCCTCCACATCTCTCCCAAGAATCAAATCTTGAGCCATACAGTTCTCCCTGCACAGAGATGTTCTGTGCAACAAGCTCTTGCCTCTCTTCTTTGTTCTCTGCAGCCCCCAGGCTCCCAAGCTATCAATTCCACTAATGCTGTGAGTGAGCCAAGTCAAAGGGTGAGTCCCCCAGGTCATCCTTGGAAATCTAGAATACTGGCCACGTGCTCTCTTCCCCTCTTCCCTCCCTAGAGAGAAACCTTAAAGTTGAGTGCTTTTTTCCTGATTGTATCAAGCTGTGCTGACTCCAGCAAGCCACCCACTACTTTCTTTTGTTCTAAGCAGTCCCCAGGCATCCAAATCATGCCAATTCCATCCTGCTTATAGGGAGCCAAAAGAAACTCATTACTTGATTAGTCTTCTGAAAAGCTAGAACACTGAATGCTTGCTCTACATTTTGGTTTCTGGGGGTGAGAGGGGGCACTTTCTGGACCAGAGTATTCCCTTCTGCAACAGCTTGAGGGAGGGTGTGCTGTGTGCAAAGTGAAATCATTCTTCTTAGCTGTCACAATGTGGATTTCTCAGTTCTCTGTTCTCCTGAGGGCATTGCATGCTTATACCTGGATTCCAGTATTCTGTTAATAGATACTTGAATCTACACATGTACAGGGCTAGTTTTATGTCAACTTGACACAAGCTAGAGTCGTCAGAGAGGAGGGAACCTTAACTGAGAAAATGCCTCCATAAATTGGGGCTGTAGGCAAGACTATGTCATTTTGTTAATTCGTGTTTTGTGGGGGGAGGGCCCAGGCAATTATAGGTGGTGCCATCCCCTAGTTGGTGGTCCTGGGTTCTATAACAAAGCAGGTTGAGCAAACCAGTAAACAGCACCCCCAACATGGCTTCTGCATCAATTCCTACCTCCAGGTTCCTGCCCTGCCTCCTTTAGTGATATGGAAGCATAAGCTGAATAGACCCAAGTAGCTTGATCATGGTGTTTCACTGCAGCAATAGAAGCCCTAACTAAGACTATGTTTCTATGTGAGCTGGGACTCCATATCTGCTGTTTTGATGGCTTCATTCTCAGGAAAAGTTTTTAAAATCTATTTGGAGTCATAAGAACATAATTTTGGCATCTTTGACCTTTTTACTCTACGTGTTCTCATAAACACTTTCTTATTAAATTCTTTCAGAAGTGAATTTTTAATCTAGTGACTGTCATAGGATGCCATTACAACTCCTCCTCATTTAGGGTTTATTAAAAAATTGTTTTAATGTGCTTTTAGTATTTTCAGTTAAATAATGTTCCGTAATGTAACCTTTTTCTGTTTTTCAGACATATCTTTTTTACTTTTTCATAGTTACAATAATGGTACTGTTTTGGTTAGGGTTTCTATTGTTGTGATGAAACACCATGACCAAAAGCAATTTGGGGATGGAAAGGGTTTATGAATAAACCAGATAACAGCCAATCACAGGAACTCAAGCAAGGATGAAGCCTGGAGGGATGAGTTGAAGTGGAGGCCACAGTGGAGTGCTGCTAACAAGTAAACTTGCTTAGTCTGTTAATAGCAAACATGACCACCAACCAGCTGAGGGGTGACACCACCCACAATGAGCTGGCTCCTCCTACATCAGTCACTAATATGAAAATGTGCTACAATAACAGCACACAGAATCAACTAAGTAGGACTCATAGGGTCTCACAGAGACTGGTGACAATCACAGAGTCTGTACCCTGTCTGAGCTAGGTCCTTTGCTTATATGTTATGTTTGTTGATTTGGTATCCTTGTGGGACTCCTAACAGTGGGAGTGGGGGTTTCTCTGACTCTTTTTTCCACTAGTGGGATTCTTTTCCC